TAGTATTGCATACAGAGTCAAGAGATAGAAATTCAACTAGAGGGAACGGACAAGACAAATCAAACTACATAGGTAGATCAAAGGACAGGAGGTCCAAGTCAAGGAATCCAAGCAACAACTCGAAGGCTATTAAGTTTAGAATTATGGAAAGACCGAAGATTACAAGAATCAGTGCAAGAGTGCACAGAAGGAGAAAGAGGCGAAGGCAAAGGTGAATGTCACTTCCACCTCAGGAAGAGATGATGCATTGATATGCTCTTTGGAGAGCAAGGAGGAATATTGGGTGTTAGATTCAGGAGCGTCGTTCCATGCCACTTCTCAGAAAGAATTCTTCGAGAAGTATGTTCCCAGAAATCTTGGATACGTATATCTTAGTGATGATCAACCGTGTGCTATTGTGGGCAAAGGTGTAGTAAAAATTAAGTTGAACGGGTCAGTATGGGAGCTGAAGGATGTCAAACATATTCCCGACCTAAGAAAGAACTTAATATCCGTAGGCCAGTTGGCTGGTGAAGGATACACTACGACCTTCCATGGAGGTGATTGGAAGATCTCAAAGGGTGTAATGACGATTGCCCGAGGTAAGAAGACTGGTACCCTGTATATGACAGCAGGTGCACGTTGTTTAATCTCAGTTGTAGCAGGCAATAAAACTTCAAAATTGTGGCACCAGAGACTCGGTCATATGAGTGAGAAGGAGATAAAGATCATGCACACAAAGGGAAAACTCTCAGGTCTAGAATCAGTTGATTTAGATATGTGTGAAAAATGCATACTCGGAAAGCAGAAGAGAGTTAGCTTTCAGACAAGTGGCAAAACCCCCAGAAAGCAAAATCTAGAGCTTGTTCACTTAGATGTTTGGGACCAACCATCACCGCGTCCATTAGTGGAAAATACTACTTCGTGACTTTTATTGATGATCACTCTCGGAAAGTAAGGGTCTACTTTCTGAAGCACAAGTCAGAAGTATTTGAATCTTTCAGGAGATGGAAAGCTATGGTCGAGAATGAGACCGGTCTGAGAATAAAGAAGCTTAGGACCGACAATGACGGTGAGTATGAAGGCACCGGATTCAAGAAGTTCTGCTATGAGCACGGGATCAGAATAGAGAGAACCGTGCCCGGCACGCCTTAGCAAAATGGTATAGCTGAGCGGATGAACCGAACGTTGACAGAGAGAGCCAGAAGCATTCGGGTATAGTCAGGCCTACCGAAGTAGTTCTGGGCAGAAGCAGTCAACACAGCAGCTTACTTGATCAACCGAGATCCATCGGTTCTATTGGAGCACAAAATACCAGAGGAGGTATGGTGCGGAAAGGAGATAAAACTCTCACATCTTAAAGTTTTTGGTTGTGTAGCTTACATGCATATTAGTGATCAAGGTAGGAATAAGCTTCATCCCAAGTCAAAGAAATGCACTTTCATCGGCTATGGTAAAGATGAATTCGGCTACCGCATTTGGGACAACGAAAAAAGAAGGTGATCAGGAGTAGAGATGTGATATTCAACGAGAAGGTGATGTACAAAGACATGCACAAAACAGACGACTCAGAGAGTGAGTCAATATTTGTAGATGCAGATGATATCCCGAGTAACCTCTCCGAAAAACCCAATGCGGAAGGTCCTCAGCCAGAAGAGTCTGTTGGACAGAACGGTGCGCAGGAGCCTAACGCACCAGCTCCAATATTAAGAAGATCCTCTTGGCCTCCTGTGCCCAACAAGAGATACATGAACTATTTGTTGCTAATAGATGGAGGGGAGCATGAAAGCTATGATGAAGCTTGTCAGAGTGAAGATACGATCAAGTGAGAGCTTACCATGAAAGATGAGATGAAGTCTCTCATCTCAAACCAGACATAGGAACTAGCTGAGTTGCCTACGGGTAAGAAGGAACTCTATAACAAATGGGTGTATCGGGTGAAAGAGGAGCAGGATGGTTCCAGAAGATATAAGGCCCGATTAGTGGTCAAAGGATTCCAGCAGAATGAAGGAATTGACTACACCGATATTTTTGCTCCTGTTGTGAAGCTAAATACTATCAGGATAGTGATGAGTATTGTAGCTATTGAAGATCTTCATCTCGAGTAGTTGGACGTGAAGATAGTGTTTCTTCACGGAGATCTAGAAGATGAGATATACATGCACCAGCCAGAAGGTTTCTCAGAAGAAAAGAAGAAGAACCTGGTTTGCAGACTCAAGAAGAGCTTGTATGGCCTGAAACAAGCCCCACGACAGTGGTACAGGAAGTTTGACGGCTTTATACCCAAGGAAGGTTTTCAGAAGTACAACGCCAACCACTGTTGATACTTCAAAAGATATCAGTACAGTTATATCATCCTACTATTATATGTTGATGATATGTTGGTTGTAGGTGCAGATATGGAGGATATCAGGAGTTTGAAGCAGTAGCTGTCAAAGGAGTTTGACATGAAGAACTTGGGTCCAGGAAAGAAGATCATTCGAATGCAAATCATGAGAGATAAGAAGAGAGATCTCTTGCAGTTATCTCAGATGGAGTACATCAACCGTGTTTTATAGAGATTCAACATGGATGACGCCAAGCTAGTGAGCACACCCTTGGCCAGCCATTTTTACCTATCAAAGGATCAGTCTCCTCAGTCAGAAGAAAAAAAAGAGAGTATGGCTAAGGTTCCTTACGCCTCAGTTATAGGAAGTTTGATGTACGTAATGGTCTATACGAGAACAGGCATTGGCCATGCAGTGGGAATGGTCAGCCGGTATATGTCGAACCCAGGAAAAGTTTATTAGGAAGCGGTCAAGTGGATTATGAGGTACCTACGAGGCACCATACAGAAGTGTTTGCACTTTGGTAAGAGAGAGGTAGAAGTGCAAGGGTACGTAGATGAAGAATTCGATGGTGAAGTCGATCACCGAAGAAGCACTATCAGCTATGTATTTACTATTGGAACTATAGATGTTAGTTGGATGTCACAGATACAGAAAACTGGCACTCTATTCACTACAGAAGCTGAGTATGTTGCAGTGACTGAAGCTAGTAAAGAGATGATATGGCTTCAGGGTTTGTTAACTGAGCTGAGATTCAAACAGGAGAGGGATGTATTACACAACGATAGTCAGAGTGCGATTCACTTGGCTAAGAATTCCACATTTCATTCTAGAACGAAGCATATTGGGCTTCGGTACCACTTCATCAGATCCCTACTGGAAGATGATGTGTTGAAACTGGAGAAGATTCCAGGAAATAAGAATTCAGCAAATATGTTAACAAAGACGGTGACCATTCAAAAACTGAAGTTGTGCGCAACTTCAGTTGGTCTTCATGCATAACTGATGAGGGCGGAGCCACACAAGAGGAGGTTCTTGTTGAGATATCCTATTTGCGACGGTTTGATCTCCAAGTGGGAGATTATTGGATCTAGGTATAGATTCAAACCTTCGCAGGCGCTCAGGCGACAAGGTCGACGGCGAGAAGCGCAGGCGCAAGCGAGGAAGTCGACCGAGCCCTCCTCCAGGCCGAGGTCGAAGCTCCAGGCGAGGCGACCCCTTACAGGAAAGCTCAAGTGTCTCCTTGCAGGCGAGGTCGGAAGGCGAGCTCGAGGTCGGCGGTTCCAACACAGGTGAGTCAGGCGCAGATCTAGTCTGGCGAGTTTTAGAGGCAGGCGGGCTCCACCCAGGCGAGCTCAAGGGCATGTGTTGCAAGCCGAGGTTCGAGTCGAGATCTAGCGGGGTGCTGGCCGCCCGCAGCAAGGTCGCGCATGCCCTGTCGCCAGTCTTAGAGTTCCCCTATAAAAGGAAACTCAAACCCTAACTCTCTGTTGCTTGCTTCAGCCCTCTCTCTCTCTCTTGTTTTTGCGGCGATAATTTCTCTCTCCCTCTCTCTGCCTTTTTCTTTCTCAGAGATTTGAGAAAAGGGGGTTTGATTTGAGAAGGGGATTTATTAAGAAGATTAAAGAGGGGTTGTAAAAGAGAGGGAATTTTATTACTGTAGCTACAGTGATAAATTAGCGTTTATTGAGAGATCTCAAGCTTGAGATCTGCTCTTGCTTTGTAATTTCTTATTGATTAATAAGAAATTTATTGTTTGGCTCCCGAGGACGTAGGCAGTTGCCGAACCTCGTTAAATCCTTGTGTATTTTCTCTATACGGTGTTTCTGCTGTTTTAGGGATTTTTGCGTAAAATTCCCAACATAAATAACCCTAACGGTTGTCAGATCATATCACATTTTTTTGGGGTTTTTTGGGCTTATGGTGCATGTATACAAGGATTCAAATAAGGTTGTAGATTAGTCATAGGCTTAGATGGTTGTTTCTTGAAGGTCCCTAATTGTGGTGTTCTACTAAGTATTGCGAACTGAGATGAGAACAATCAAATGTTCTTTATAGCAATTGGAGTGATACAGAATGAGTGTGAAGAAACATGTTCCTAGTTTGTTGAAAATCTACTTGAAGCTATTGGTGATCAAAACCAACATGAATGTGCTTACATCAGCAATAGGCAAAAAGTATCCTTGATTAATTTTAATTAGATACACATTGTATGTTTCCTTTGACATTTCACTTAATGGTTTTATTTCATAAATAATGCCATTGACATATCACTTACTGTTTTTATTTCATAATATTGCAGGGGCTATTGGAAATATTTAGAAAGTTAGTTCTTGAACCAAGGTGTTAGGCACCATTATGCCAACTTTTATGAGAGGTTTAAAGAACAAGAGTATAAATTACTCCTATGGAAAGCAGCAAAATCATACACAATGCACGGTTATGAAGAGGTAATGGAGGCTTTTGAGATGGAACAAAAATGTATTTGAGTATTTGGCCAAAATTGATGCTAGTGCATGGACAAGGTCACATTTTCCCGCAGATATAAAGTGTGATTTACTATGCAACAATATATGAAAGTCATTTAATAAATTAATCTTAGAAGTCAAGGATAAATCTATAATTAATATGCTGGAGATGATAAGAAGAATGATATAAAATTGATTTGTGAAGAAATGGCAGAAAAGTGGAAAGATGGGGGTTCGTCCAATAATTGCTGCAAAAATTGATGATAATGAAAGGCTTTCAAGGGATAAAAAATTTATGCTTAAGTTTGCTAATCATAACAATTATGATGTAAAAGAGGGTTTAGAGTGTGTTGCAGTGAACTTGAAGGAGAAGAGTTCCTGTTGTAAGGAATGGGATTTATCAGGTATACCATGCATTAATGCTGTATAATGTCTAAGATCCGCAAGAATCAACCTTACACACAAGTGCATGAATATTTCATAAAGAGCATATTTGTATTAGCACATGGGGGACACATTAAGTCCTATTCGAGACCGTAAATGCTAGTCTAAAATGGGTTTTAATAAGGTACTGCCTCCTCTCTATAAGAAGAAAAGCCTCAGAGACCCAAAAAGAAGAGAAGAAAGAAAACAGAAGAGCTCATTCATGTTCTAAATGCAAATAATCAGGTCATAAGGTTAAAAAATGTCCTAACGAGAGAAGATACCAAAAATGGGGAGGAAAAGGAGAAGACCTTCAAGCAAGAACTTGGAGCAACAATTAGCTGGTGCCTGGTGCATAGTAGAAAGTGGGGGTTGGTGCAGACGGAATTGGTTCACATGAAAGGTATAAAGATAGGGGAACAGGGGAAGTGGTGCACAAGGAAACATTGCACAAAGGCATGATCCATCCAAGGTAAAACATCTCAATTACATTGAATTTTATTATTTGTGATAGATCTCACTTACATTACATTTTGTGATTCTATAGGGCACAAGTGCTAGAGAAGGCACAATACGAGTTGAACAAATCTCTATTAAAAAAATGTTTGTTGATATCTTATTTATTCGGCTATTGCCATGTACATATTATGAAGCCAAATTTGTTTGTATTGCAAATAATGATACACAACTAGGATCTTCATCTCAAATACATACTCCTAAAAGAAAAACGTTAGCATGTAAGACAAAGAGGAAATTTGTATTATCTAGATATATGGCTATCTACAGGTATGTCATGTCAATGCAAATTTGCATTCATGTTGTTATTGAAATTTTATTATTCAACATATACTATCAATTCATAAGATAGACTTTTGCTACCGAAACAAATATTGGGAAACAACCTACTACTACAACTGCCTTTACACAACAGAGTCTCCCACTCGATCATAAACCAATTAGAAATACTGTAACGGGGCCAAGTTCTATTACTCTAGGTGGTTTTAAGGGGAAAGGAGGTTTCTTAGGCAAAAATACAATATGGATGTTAGGTAACAAACTTATATCATTATACTCTCTCATTAATCCTACCTAGCAAACTGTTTTGCATCATCCACCCACTCAGCATTAAAACGCTCCTCT